CATAAGAAATTTGCAAAATCAAATTGATCTTCTTGAAACTGATATATCCATGAAAAATAGTATTATTGAGTCCACTCAGGAAAATCTTAGAATTACTAGTTTGTCAAATTCATCTTTGTCTGCTGAAATTGATGATGTTAAAAATCTTTTGATCAAAGAACAAACTGTGCTTCACACTTGGGCAAAATCTCATAAGAATGCTAATTATATTATTTCAGCTCAAATTCCACATTCTTGTGAGAAAATTCTTGGGGTAATTTTGCAGAAGCTGAAAAAGTTTTTAAATCACAAGAAAAGGAATCTGAGGTCTATTCCATGAATGTGATGAAAAACAATTTCAAAAATAAGTTTGTCAGTAACTCTTTTATTAATCAAAGTTTAATTGATGAATATTGCATTACTAATTCTGATGGTATCACTGAGTGTAATGTTGAAATTACCGGAATTGATCCTACCTCTTATCCTGCACATCTTGTTAGACCAATCCCTCTAACTGAGAATATTATTGCTTTTCCTATCTCAAATGGAGTGTTTCATGCTGTTCATGAACAACTCAAGCACTTCCCTGATTGCAATCCATCTGTGAATGAGTCAAAATCAGATACTGATAGTTTATCACCTAACACTGATCAAACTCCTCCTGATACTGAATTCAGTCGTGACTCAATGATAAGCAAAAGGACTCAAAGCTCTCTTGGTGAATCTTACATGTCAAAATGTGTTAAATCAAAAAATTTGCTCACCAAGAAGAACTTTGGTACTAGAGTTTGTTACAGATGTGGTAATTCCTCTCACAAGATCAGTGAATGTTCTTTTGATAAATCATCCTCAAGAGCTGAAAATATTAAAGTTAGAAATGAAAAATGGACTCTTAAGTCAAACTCTTTAAACTGTCTTCCTAAGGAGTGTTATAATCTATTATCAAATAACTTTGTGAATGACCCATCTTTGAATGGGTCAGTGTGTTCTAACTAGTTTCTCAGTACTGCAGGGTCAGGAGCATCTTTGGTATTTAGATAGTGGTTGCTCAAGGCATATGACGGGATCAAAGTCTCTCCTGGAAGATTATGTTAAGAAAATGGTCCTGCAGTTACTTATGGAGACAATGGAAAGGGGTTCACTAAGGGATATGGAAACATCAAATGCAATAACGTGGTTTTTCAAAACGTTTCATATGTAAAGGGTCTCAAACACAACCTCATTTCTATCAGTCAGTTGTGTGATGCTGACTATGAAGTTCACTTTACAAAGAAGGAAGGAAGAGTTGTAAACACTGACAAGAACATCGTACTCTCAGCAAGTAGAAAAGATGATATATATGTTCTTGACATGTTCTCAAGTGACAAGGCACTGATGCAATGTTTCTTTACAAAGTCTCAGACGAATCTTAGCTGGATTTGGCACAAAAGGTTTTCTCATCTGAACTTCAAGAATCTATCCAAGATATCCAATCAAGACCTAGTTAGAGGGCTCCCAAAATTCAGCGTTGTGAAAGACAAGATGTGCTCAGCTTGTGAACAAGGAAAACAAACCAAGTCCTCTTTCAAACCCAAGTCATGTTCCAGTATATCAGTCCCTCTTTATCTACTCCACATGGACCTGTTTGGACCTATTCCTGTTCGTTCACTAGGTGGAAATAAGTATACTCTAGTGGTCGTTGATGAGTTCACTCGATTTACTTGGGTAGTTTTCTTGAAGAAGAAAAGTCATGCTGCACAGGAAATTATCTCACTGATTCGTAAAAATGAGACACTGACAGGTCTTAAAGTTAAGCAACTAAGAAGTGATCATGGTACTGAGTTCCGAAACTCAACTCTTGAAGAATTTTGTGACAATAAAGGAATTGGACAAAACTTCTCAGCTCCTCGTACTCCTCAGCAAAATGGTGTTGCTGAACGAAGGAATAGAACACTGATTGAGGCAGGAAGAACCTTGATGATCCATGCTGGTCTTCCTATGTCGTTTTGGGCTGAAGCTGTCAATACAGCGTGTTTTACTCAGAATCGATCTCTAATTCACAGGATTCACAAGAAGACTCCATATGAAATGCTGAAAGATCGAAAACCAGATGTATCCTTTTTTCATGTGTTCGGATGCATTTGTTATATTCTAAATCAGCGTGACCCAAGATCCAAGTTTGAACCTAAGGCTGATAAAGGTATTTTTGTTGGGTACTCATCTATTTCAAAGGCTTTTCGTGTTTTTCATGTGAATAGGCAATGTGTTGAAGAATCCATTCATGTGAAGTTTGATGAGGAATCATACACTGATGAAAAAGTCACTCATTCTCCTTCTATCTTTCAAGAGCTTCTCTCTTGTCCATTCGATGAAGCACCTTCTGCAGAAGATAAGACTGATTCCTCTGATCCTATCATTCCAGTTCCATGTTCCTTGAATCAAGATATTGCAGCCACATCAGCAGATAATTCATTAAGTGCTGATGAAACCCTTGAAGCTGAAGATTCTCCTGAAACTGATAATGTGTCAGTGTCTATCTCTCCGGAATCAGCATCAGTCATTGAACATCGAGATCATCCTGTTGATCGAATTATAGGGAATATTCATGATGGTGTCCGAACCAGATCTAGTGCACTTAATAACTTTTGCATGTATGTTAACTTTGTTTCAATGATCTTACCTGATAAAGTACACACAGCTCTTCAAGATGCTGATTGGATCAAAGCCATGCAAGAAGAACTGAATGAGTTTGAAAGGCACAAAGTTTGGACTCTTGTCCCAAGACCATCCGGGAAAACTATCACTGGAACTCGCTGGGTCTATCGTAACAAGGTTGATAAAGATGGAATCATCACTCGCAACAAGGCAAGGCTTGTAGCTCAAGGGTTTACTCAAATTGAATCCATCGACTACGGGGAAACTTTTGCTCCAGTTGCTCGCATTGAAGCTATCAGACTGTTTCTCGCATACGCATCCTACATGAACTTCATTGTCTATCAGATGGATGTGAAAACAGCATTCCTTCATGGTGTGTTAGAAGAAGAAGTATTCCTAAATCAGCCCCCAGGCTTTGTGGACAAAGATCATCCTGATTACGTGTACCGGTTAGACAAAGCTGTTTATGGACTGAAACAAGCTCCCAGGGCTTGGTATGAGACGCTGACATCGTATCTGCTTGAAAATGGATACAGACGAGGAGCAATCGACAATACTCTCTTCATCAAAAACAAAGGCTCAGACATGGTTCTTGTTCAAATTTATGTCGATGACATCATTTTTGGCTCTCCAAATGAGACACTGAGCAAGGAATTTGCAGAGATCATGTCTCAAAGGTTCGAAATGAGCATGATGGGGAAGATGACCTTTTTCTTAGGTCTTGAAGTTCAGCAACAAAAGACAGGTATTTCCATTTGTCAAAGTAAATATATATCTGACCTGCTTGTTAAGTATTCTCTCAGTGACTGCAAACCAGCCTCTACTCCAGTGTCTAAGACTGATAAGATACACGCTGATCCAACTGGAACTGATGTCAATCACTCTCTGTATCGAGGAATGATTGGATCCCTCTTATATCTCACAGCAAGTCGTCCTGATATTATGTTTGGAACCATTCTCTGTGCTCGATTCCAAGCTAATCCAAAAGAATCTCACCTCATGGCTGTCAAACGTATTTTTCGATACTTGAAGGGAACTCAAAACCTTGCTCTGTGGTATCCTCGTGACTCAGCATTTGAACTTTATGGATACACTGACTCAGATTATGCTGGATGCAATTTAGACAAAAAGAGTACATCTGGTGGATGTCACTTCCTTGGCAATCGTCTCATCAGCTGGTCCAGCAAGAAACAAACATCAGTAGCCATCTCAACTGCAGAAGCTGAGTATGTTGCCGCTGGGAGATGTTGTGCTCAGCTCTTATGGATTCAAAATCAGCTTCTCGACTATGGGTTCAAGTTCTCAAAGACTCCCATATATTGTGACAACACCAGTGCCATTCAGATCACACAAAATCCTGTTCAGCACTCAAAGACAAAGCATATTGAAATCAGACATCACTTCATCAGAGATAATGTTGAAAAAGGAAAAGTTGTTCTTGAACATGTCAAGACTTCGGAGCAACTTGCTGATATCTTCACAAAGGCACTGGATTCTCAATCAACTGCTTACATTATCGGAGAACTGGGAATGATTTCCTTGTAATTAATTTTGACGTTTAATTGTGCTAATGTTTGAGATTGTCTTATAAGCTGATGTACATTGTGCTGATGATGACATACTGATGATATTTGCTACTGAGCACTTTGGTTTGATTTCTTATCTTGATCTCTTCTTCAAGTCTTCTAAACAAAAGTTGAATGATTCACTGTATTAAACCATACACTGATAACGACTTGAAACTCTTTGCCGATGGTTAGATCAAAACACCAAGATTTATCACACGCAACTACCCCTTCTCACCAATCTTACACTGATTCTGTGATTCAGTGTGCCAAAACACACGCTGATGAGAGTCTAAAAATCTTTGCCGATGGTTAGACCAAAACACCAAGGTTTATCACACGCAACAATCCATTCTTTACCCTCCTCTTATTCAGTGTCTAATGATTCAGTAAGATAAACCACTCACTGATGAAGTCACAACACTCTGTGCCGATGGTTAGATAATGTAACTAGTATCTATCACACGCACCAATCTCCTTGCTAGCCCCGATTAAGCAAGTTGTACCTTGAATTGACGGAGAAATATTCTCAGCACGTAACTTTTGTGACACTGAGCTCAGCGCTTCCGCAAACACTGATTGACGTTTCACCTTCAGTCAACGGCTCTTTTATCCAACGGCTATTTTCTACTCTGACAGATTGTTACGATGCGCCGTTATTCTTAATGAAGATAATCATCACCTTTTTAATGAAGATAATTATTACCTTTTTAAAAACCCCCTTTTCATTCCATATTTAAACCTCTTTCTCCCTTGGTTTAATTTTTCCTTCCAAAACCTTGAACTTTTCTCAAAAACCCTAGAATTCTCAAATACTCTCCAATGGCGGCATCTCTGTTCACATACTCCTCAACCTCTCGAAGAGTCGTTCCTGCCCCAAACTCTCCTCCACTTCCAATTCACATCAAGGCAACCAATGTCGTCTTCAACCCTGACATTCCAGAGGTTCATCGAGGTCTTGGACTCGATGATTTCGTCAATTTCTTGGCTTCTTGCCGCCTCCGATATGCAATCAGTGATGTACCGTCCGAGTTCTTCCCTGAACAAGTATGTGAGTTTTACTATACTGCAACAGTTAATGAAGAAAACAATGCCATCACCGGAACCATTGGTCATGGCAGACACTCTGTCTTCATCACCGCAGAACTACTCAGTGCTGCTTTAAGGTTACCAATTTTCGAACCCTTTTCTGAACCTCCAACTATTGAAAGATGTAAACGAATATTTGATCAACTGGGCTATGATCATTCAAAGGCTGGTACTCGATCAGCTCTTATTTTGCGTCAGTGCATGACCCCAGGCTGGAAGTTTTTCACTGGTGCTTTATGCAAGTGTGTGGGTCACAAGTCTCGCAGTGGTGATCAATTGAGCAATTATGAGCAACAAGTCGTCTGCTCCCTTCTTCTCAACAAAAGATTAGATTATGGGGCACTATTCTTTGATCAGCTTGTTCAGCTTCTACGTGCAAATGTGCGTGCTGATCATGTTCCCTTTCCACGCTGGATTGCCCTGGTGTTCGACAAATTCTTCGCTGCTGACTACTTTTCTCACTCTGGGAATCCAATCCAATGCCCTCGAATGTCCGTTCGTATGTATCAGGATGATCCTTTGGATACTGACATTGGAATCTCCGATAGGATGAGAGAATGGATTGCCAATCCATACACTATGCCTTCTCTCACCGCTGACACTGATGAAGGAGGTGCTGATGGTAATCGTATGGATCATGCTGATCAAGAGGTGGAACATCATGATGGCGGCCATTTCTCCCCTCAACTTTCTCATCACCTCATCTCGGCCACTGGCAAAGCCTCCTCAGCACCACAGGATTCCATGCCTCTGGGGGGCAACCATCACAGGGGGAGCATCAGTCTCAGGGGGAGCATCCATCACCAGCAGCTCACCACTTCTCTCCAAGGATGCAACCTAGCTCTCCAGTTGCCCCAGGTACCTCAATGGTTCAAATTCCCGCTTCAGCATTTTCTGAACTGATGTCACTGACTCGGGACATGAGTCAGCGTCTGCTTCGTATTGAGGCTGATGTTCAAAAAATCAAGGAGGTTCTCTTACTTACTCCTCCCTCTAGTCCCAAATCTAATGATGCTCAAAAAGGGGGAGATACTGATGATGATGCTGATGCTGATGATCATGCTGATGGTGAACCAAATGCTCATGCTGATGGTGAACCAAATGAGAAAGACACAGAACCTGCTGACAACACTATCTTTCAGCATGAATCATCCAACCCCATTCCTGAATCTGATTCTGTGGGGCATAATAGTCCAGCAGCTACTGAAAAATTGTTTGAAGACAGTGAGCATGATGAAGAGCATGATGAACCTGATGATGAATGTCAAATTCTTGACATGAACATCATTGATCCTCTCATTCCAGTTCAGCAAGAAAGCTTCGAAGACCTTGAAGAATCTCATCCGATATTAGTCGATCCTATTGCTGATCCCATCATTCCGGTCCAAGGAGAGGATTCGGACATTGCCAGTGAAGAATCTCATCCGCTGTCTCGAAAGCGGAAGGTAGCAGATACTGACTTGGATCATTCTCAAACTGATACTTCTTCAACTGTGAAGAAACCCAAGTCCATTGTCAGTATTTCAAACCTTGCCACTGAATGGAACATGTCCCCTGATCAAGTCAAGCAAATTCTTGATGAAGCCAATCGAGCTCAGCTTCTAAAGAACATTGCTCAAGCTGATGAATCTCTTATTCAGCACAAACTTCAGGCCAAGGGATCTTTTGAAGCTCAGATGCAGAAGTTCCTGGAATTTCAGTCCAAGGCTCAGTCTTCTCAACCTCCTCCTAGCTCTAGCAAGCCTAAGACTGACAGTGTTCTTGACCGGATTGATCGAAAGAGATTTGAAGATGTTTTTAATCGGCGAATGTGTGGAGATAAGATCATCAAAGTCAAAGCTTCTAAACCTCGAAACGAGAAAATCCTTACGTTGCTGATCACTCGTCAAGGTCCTCAGCACTCATATACTGAAGTTGTCAAGAGGGATGAGCTGATTAGATATGGGTATTCGGAATGGATGGAACTGCTCGATCTTGCATCCAAGCAAACCTCAGCTCACTCTTCAGAACTGACTTGTGCTCTTCATCTGCTGATCAAGAAAGTTCAGCGTTTGGATCTTGTTCCTAAAGAACGACCTCAGCATCAAGGCCAAAGGTCGTCAGTTCCTAGATCTCGAAGAACCAAGTTTCATGTTGATGGTGAAGATGTATTGGTTCTAGACTTTGGTGCTGGTGTAATTAACAATTCACTTCCTCTAGGTGTTGATCCGGTTCAGCATCAATTCATCTCAGCTCCTGAACACGGGATGTTCTATCTAGACAAAAACAGGAGGATGTGCTTTCAACGAACTACTGAGATCCCAAAGGCTCCAACCACTCACCTTGTTGGCTTAAGGCAAATGTGCATGAGTCATCAAGATCTATCCGGAGAATTTCACATTCTTATTGCCATGGAGCTGCTGAACAGAAGACAGGAATTGCTGGACAGTCCTTACTGGCCAGTTAAAATTGAAGCTGAAGTTGAGTATGAACAATTTCTTTCCAGAGGTGTCTTTATTTAGTTTGTTTTGAACATCATCATATTGGGGGAGATTGTAAGGTCAAACCTTGAAATATGATTATGTTTAAAATAGACTCAGCGTCAGCACATGTCTCAGCATCAGCACCAGCGTGTAACTGCTCTGTTTGTATTAGTTTAGTTTATTCAGTGCATTGTAACAAATCATGTATTTATTCTGTTTCCTTAGTTATCTTGATTTATTAGCTAGCGTATCCCTGAATTGTAGGGATTGTCTAGAATAACAGTATATATTATCTTGTACAGGTTTGTGAATCGGTACGCCTTTCACAAACCCTAATCGTCGCTTTGTGCACACGATAATCTCTTTGTGAGATTATCTTTCTTAGTGAAAGTTTTTCTTCGTGAATTTCTCTTATTCTTATTTATTGTATTTGTTTGATATATCGATTGATCTAAAGGCCTCTTCAATATATATATTGAATATATATTTATTTCCTAGATTATATACTTTTATTAGATTAAGGATGTACTGGTTTATCTTTATATGAAAAGTATGGAGTCATGAAGCATATGTTAGACAATAAGCTTAATCACTCTAGCATCTACTTCTTGTCAAGATTTTACTTCTTGCAAGGTTGGAATGTCATTTCTCATGAGTAGTATGTCATCAACATAAACACTAGAAAATTACTACACTCCCACTTGCTTTGACATATATGCAAGACTCATCCTTACTCCTAGAAAAACCAAATTCTTTGACTTTTTCATGGTAGAAAAGATTCCAACTGCAAGGTGCTTGTTTCAATACATAGATGGATTTCTCAAGCTTACACACTCTATTGGGAAACTTTGCATCAACAAAACCCTCTGGCTAACTCATGTAAACATCTTCAGCCTACTTCCTATTAAGGAATGTAGTTTTGACATCCATCTACCAAATTTAATAATCATGAAAGGAAGCTATGGCAAACATTATTCTAATAGATTTAATCTTAGCTACTGGTGAGAAGGTCTCATAATATTCAATCCCTTTGGTTTGAGTAAAGCCATTCACAACCAGTTGTGCCTTGAATGTGTGCACATTACCATCTATGTCAGTCTTCTTAGATCCATTTGCAACCAACTGTCTTTCGACCAGGTTGTTGATAAACCAAATTCCAAACTTGGTTGGCATACACGGACTTGATCTCACTGTGTGTTGCCTCCTTCCACTTGGCTACCTCAGGTCATGCCATTACTTCCTTGTAGTTAGCTGGCTCATCCAAATTTCTCAGTGTTTGATCACTGATAAGCATATCACCATCTGAAGTTATATGGAAACCATAGAACTCAGTTGGCAGGCTAACTCTACTTCAACGAAGAAGTTCTAATGAATTGTCAACTAGCTCAACTGGAATTTTTTTCCTCTTGTTGAGTGCTAGTGTCTTCTAAGGTTCCTTCATTGGTTGACTCTTGAATCTCTTCAAGGTCAATTTTTCTCCCACTATCCTCTTTGCATATGAGCTCTCTCTCTCTTCCGAAAGACCCCTCTTTGTACTACAAAGACCACGTCTTCACTAGGCTTGTAGAACAAATATCCAAATGAATTTTTTGGGTAGCCAATGAAAACACATCTCCCACTTCTGGCTTCTAGCTTGTCATGAGTTTCTATTCCAACGACAGCTTCACAACCCCAGACTTTGATATGTGCTAACGAGGTAACTTTCCCTCTCCACCTCTCATGAGGTGTTTTGGCAACCTTTTTAGTAGGGACAAGATTGAGGATGTGGGCGGCTATCTCTAAGGAATACCCCCCCCCCCCCCGGTAGGAAATGGGAAGAAGGGCTTGACTCATCATGGAACGAAGCATATCCAACAACGTTCGATTGCGCCTCTCAACCACACCATTAATTTGTGGTGTCCTAGGAGGACTCAATTGTGAAACTATCCCACATTCCTTGAAGTAGGCATGGAACTCGATACTAAGATACTCTCCTCCTCTATTAGATCAGTGCATCTCTATCTTCCTACCTAATTGATTCTCGACTTCATGCATAAACTCTTTGAACTTTTCAAAGGTTTTTTATTTATGTTTGATCAAGTAGATATAACCATATCTACTATAATCATCTATAAATGTTATATAAAATCGATTAGCATCTCTAGTGGTGGATCTGAAGGGTCCACACACATCTGTGTGTATGAGATCTAACTAACCCTCGCCTCTTTCACAAGATCCAATGAAAGGTGATTTTGTCATCTTCACCAAAAGACAAGATTCATATTAATCATTTGCCCTTAGGTCAAATGATTCCAAGACTCCATCCTTTTGGAGTTGGGCGATGCATTTCTTGTTAATGTACCCTAGACGACAATGTCACAAGCATGCCTTGTCTAAACCTTTAGACTAATCGATGTGAAATACAATATTGCCTAAGCTATCAACACAAGTCACAATATCATACACACCATTACAAGGTAAAGCTTCAAATATAAAAACACCATTTTTATAAACTAGAATCGAACCATTCAAATCATCAAAAGAGTAGCGAAAACCTTGTCTAAGCAATGAATGAAAATAAATAACGTTTCATGTCATTTCTGACGAGTAGGAATATTCAACTAAGCTAATCCTAACATCACTACTAAGCACAAGTTGATAAGTCCTAATCTTGGTAACAGAAGAAGATTTCCTGTTTCCCATGATTAGTTTCATCTTCCCATGCTCCACCTCCTCACTTTCTTTTAGCCCCTGTAAATCATAATAAATGTGAAATCCGCATCCCATCTTAAGGACCAAAGAATGCATAGATGGTGAGTTATTAGTTTGAATAGTGTATATACCTGGCTTCACCTTGCCATCCTTGATGCTTTGCAAGTATTTAGTGGAACTCCTCTTAAAATTGTTTGGTTATTAGCATAACATCATTCATATGGTGTACATGCAACCCTAATTGCTTTGATATAGGGTTTTCTAACTTAAACATACAACTATGAATACCAAAGCAATAAACCCTAATCTAGCATGCTTATTTCGAAATTGACATAATAAACAATTAAGAATGATTACCTCAACTTGTTATGTAGTAATAACAAGAGTTCCTTGACCTGTGAAAGCTTAGTGCCGCAAGTGTTGCACCTCTAATGGAGTCACAAACACCACTAGCAACAAGGAAGAACAAGAGAGAGAGAGAGGAGAAGGATTCAAAAGTCGGGTAGGGTTCCTTCTAAAGGCATAGGCCGATTTTGAGAGCCATTGGGGTCCCTTTTATAGTTGAGGATTACTAGGGTTTTCAACTTGGAAACCCTAGTTACCTTGCTTAGTCCCTAAGCAACATATGGATTCCAATTGGACAAGCCTTGGACGAAATCCTTAAGGACTCTCATAGAGATTTTGTCCACCTTTTGCCAATATGGTCCATAAGCCCAAACTATACATATTATCAATTTACATAATCAGTCCCTGTTAATTTAATCAGTCTCTTTTGATCACCAAAATAATTCCAAATTAATTTCTGATCAATACTAATTAAATAATATGATTTCTCAATTAATATATTATTCTTTTAAAATATTAATAAATCATAATTAATTCTCTTTCTCCATAATTCATCCTATCGGTTGCTATAGTGAAGGCAACCCAAAAGGACCATGCTCATAATCAAATCAAGTACATACCAAAATTGTTATGGGTTTAGATACTTAATGCAACAAAAATAGCCCTTCTCATTACGATAGTAACAAGTGGCTCTTTGGGATCACTAACAACTGGAATGTCTGAGTTGCGCTTCGTCTTTGGCTCGTTGCTTGATGACTCTGTGTGTGCCTTGTTTTTTCAGTTAGCTTTAGGAGCAGCCTTCCGTTTCTACCCTTTACCATTTTCAATGGCGAAAACAGGAGCATTACTAGGAAGGCTTGAATTCTTCCCCTTCAATCCTGACTTAATACTACTTTCTGACTTACCGAAGGACACTCAGAAAGGACTTAGCATCAAGTTTTATTATCCACTTTAGAGTAATAATTCTAAATGGGGGAAATATTATAATTTGTTCAATAATGTTATTACAGAAATAAAAACGTTGCCAATGATTATTAAACGAGACATCTGGGTAGTTGAACCAAAATATCACATAGGATGTTATATTTCTTTAGGGATTGTATACACACACAAAGAAGACGATTCCTTTGAGATTTTGGAAAAATTAAAGATGTATAGATTTAACCTCAGCCACACCTTTTTCATCTGCCGCTTCAGCGTACTGGCATGATAAGGGAGGTATAATCATACGCCTAATGATAAAGGATTATACACCGTAGAGGTAATATAATATATGATATATATATATATATATATATATATATATATATATATATATATATATATATATAAAAATGTTTATACATATACCAATTTTCTGGCTATTATTGATTATTTGTATGTGAATTTGAATAAATTCATCTATTATTATCATTAAATTTATTTGTGTATGATAAAAAGAATAAAATCGTCAAAAAAAAAAAATCAAAAGGATTTACGTCGATTCAAATTTAATTTCATTAGTCACATGTGAATATGAAATTTTGTTCGAATTTACATATAAATTTGATATATATGTTTTAACGAGCAACCACATAAATACTTTTAATTCATATCTATAATCAAAGTGTGAACATGGACTAAATAATCGATATATTTTAACTAATTTTATGCATCGTTATCATTTATATTGAATATTAACCATGAAAGTTATTATATGTTATCGAGTAATTAGTAATTTATCAACAATTCTTTAAAAAATAAGTAGAATAATTATTTATGTGTGAATTATCCTCTATAATACACTTCAGAATCATAAGAAAATATGAATAGAATTGTAGCATGAAGTAAAAAAGAAAATTTGAATGGAGGAGTTGTATGAAGCAAAAAATAAAATAAGAAAATTAATTTTTTTTTTTTATATATTAATATGGATCTCTATATAAAAGTAACGAATAATGCTATATAATTTTTTTTTCCAACAAAAAACATGACCTAAAAAAATATTTAAAAAATGAAGTGAGTTTCTTGGTATAATCATATACATTCATGTTCTTTGTACAGATCTACGACCTATGTCTTGGCTGTCCATAACATTTTCTTCTAACGTTCAAGATTTATTTTTTAATTTTTTAATTAATAATGATTCTTTATTGAACTTATATATATATATATATATATATATATATATATATATATATATATATATATATATATATATATATATATATATATATGGTTAGATTCACGTGAAACAACTTAATTTAGTAAGACGTGAGACACAATCATAACCACTCATTTTTTAGATAAAAAAACATTTTTAAAATGCAAAATAAATGAAACTTTTCGAAAAAAACAGTTTAAATATTATTTTAGTCATTTATATTTTCCAAAAAAAATTACCTTTTTTTTACATATTCTAGTAGAATATTAAAATATTTATATATCTGACAAATCTAGTAGATAATTAGAATATTCGAACATTCTAAAAATAACATTAAAATATTTACAGTATAAAATTCTACTTAGAATATTTCAAGTGTATATATATATATATATATATATATATATATATATATATATATATATATATATATATATAAACACACACCCACACAAACACATACACACACAAACACTAGATGTGTCTGCGCAAAGCAACAACGATAAATAACTCTTTTTGCGAATAGTTTACTTACCGGTAAATAATTATTATATTTTATTATAAGTTGTTATATTATAAAAAAATTACCACTTTTAATTAAAATAATTATGTTTAAAACTTTTATTTATATTGTTTATTTATACATTTGATGTAAATTAATTATTATCACTTTCTCGTTTAAGATATATAAATTAATTTATATAGATAAATTTAATATATAAAAATGTTAATTTTGCTTCAAATTAAATTTTTAATAACATTACATAATTCTAGTCTTCAAAATTTTGACAACTATTATTGATTTTGTAATACATAATTGCTTTGTATAAAAAGCTTTATATGTTATACATCTTAAAATTCAAGATATAAATAATATGCTTTATAGTATAGTTTAATATATATATATATATATATATATATATATATATATATATATATATATATATATATATATATATATATATATATATATATATATGGGTGAGGTTAAATAGAGAACCATAATAACAATAGAACCACCAATCTTTTTTTTCAACTTTTACAACTTATTTTTTATCAAAAAAAATAATAATAATAATAATACAGAAATTTATAATTTTTTATCCATTTTCCGATTGTCAAATTTACAATGTCAATCTTTGAAAATTCACACGGTGAATCGAAAAATATATTTAACATTCATAATGCTAAGTTATCAATTTAGATATTTTTAGTTTTTTTCGATAAAGAATAAGCTGTAGGACTTGAAAAAAATATTCGGTTCCTTGGGCAACCAACAATTATGGTTATCTATTGAACTATATATATATATATATATATATATATATATATATATATATATATATATATATATATATTACTTTCTTAAAATATGTATTAATTAAATCTTCAACATTTAATATGTAATAATTAATTTTTTAAAATAATTAAAATAATTGATCTATAATAAATCTTACATGCATACAATAGATAGTAAAAACATTTGAACATAAATATATATATATATATATATATATATATATATATATATATATATATATATATATATATATATATATAATATATATATATATATATATATATATAAAAAGTATTTTTTTTTCTTTCCTTTTTGTGATAACTTTGAAACGCGTGTATTGGAGAGATATGGCAAACACCATATCGGTGATGGACCTATGAAGCCTATGTCTAAAAAGGATATGTCTTCTTTAGACTTTTAAAAAGAATTGATTTAATAATTTATTATAATAATACATACAAGGAAACACTACTTAACTTAAATTGTGGCAAAGTAAACTTCTTAAAAACCCAAGTGCTATTGATTGTGATAGAGTGATAGAACAATTCAAAACATTTTATTTATACAATTAAATACTCAATTAATATATATATATATATATATATATATATATATATATATATATATATATATATATATATATATATATATATATAAATGAATATGTTTAGTTTTCTATTGACAAGTGTTATAAAATTAGAAATAATTATTAATATTATATGCCACCTATTATGCCACATGTCAACCTATTAATTATCTATTTAAATTTTGAATTTTAAATTTGTCAATCTAATCAATTAAATTGATAATTGATTTTTTATTTCAAATTTCAAATTTTGAATTTCACATTTTAAGTATATTAAATTAGTAACATTAGAATAAAAAATATAATAAAATTAATATATGTTATAAGGTGATATAATTTAATATATTTATTTAAATCAACGATTATAATTTTATATAACTAGAAGCATATCTCTTAAATAACAATTTATATGAAACAATTCATTAATAATTTTAAGCTTTTGCTATGAAAGCTTAATTAATTTGATAACCGTGGTTCTCACGGGTTATAAACTTATATATATATATATATATATATATATATATATATATATATATATATATATATATATATATATATATATATATAGATTAATGCACAAACAAAAATATTTTGCCAAAATATGAAAACATATTTTATCTTATAAAAATCAAACATAATTACTTTAGAAATTAAATTTATTTGTAATGAATTAAAGATAATATGTTTACATTAAATGATGTTATTGTTGAGTTTAAAAAACAAACTTGGAGATCGATTAGATCAATGAAACAGGTAGAGAAACAACTAGATAATCAATTAAGAACAAGTAAATGGATCAAAAGGTGTCGAATGATTTGATAAACAATCCTCAGAAGAGCTCGATAAAGAACATCAACTGTAGAGGATTTTAGGGTTTACAAATAATCAATGAGAGTGACAACCGTTACAATACGCATACATGCATGCATATATTTATAATACAACCCTAATAGTTTTTCTAAGAAAAAGAAGGCTATTCTAGATAAGCACGGATTGACAAGCCCAATCCGGCTGTAAAACATGAGGGCCCAAGACGCAACACATTAATCTTCAACAATCTCTCCCTTTGCGTCTTTGGCACAGAGCCTTCATTCCCTTTTAACAGCAGATGGCTTCTTCATCGTCTCAAAAATCCTCGGTATAATAGCCAGAATGTGATGCCTGAAGGTAATATACCATCGAAGCATATCAGTGAAGTTCTTCTTGTCTGCTGTGGAGTTCTGCTTGCATCGGTGAATGATGTTTATCATATGCTCCAGACAGTCTGTTGAAAACAGATGCTTGTCTACCAAAGCAAACAGGAACTTGTGCTTGTCGCCTCTTGTGAACATGACCGTCAGATTTGAAGAGTCAATTTGGCCTAACTTCATTTTGTGAACGTCTCCTGTCTTGGAAAGAGGCTTGACAGTTGGTTTCTTGTTCATTATTTTTGCTATTTCTTGATCCATAGTGGTGAGCTCATGGATATAGGAAGCCAACATTCTTTTGAGATGTTTCAGAATCGGTTCATACTCCCTTTGATTGGAGAGAAGAATGTTGTATAGCAGAATCCAATCATGAGGATTCAGACTGGGAAGATCTGCCAGAGAAATAAAATGTTTTGTGTTGGCCGTTCCTCTGTTGATTTTGAAGTTAACATTCACAAATTTCCCAGCCTGTGTTGGTTTCAGTACCTTGACTTTAATTATCTTCTGTGCACTCCATGTCAAGTACTGTGGTTGACCATACTTCAGATAAAAATCTATTAATTCTCTGTCAACCTTCAAGTTTGGATGAGGGACATCAGCAGTGACATCGAAGCAATGAAATGTAAAAGCTTTTCGTGTGATCGGCATGTCAAACTGTGAGTCTTTGGTATTCTCACACTCAAAGGATGCAATTGGTTCCAACAAATATATGGAGGGAAACTCAATCGCTTGATTGATG